GGGTGATTAGATGTAGATTAATGATTGTTTAGGCTTAGATTCTCTTCTCTTTTTCTTAGTTAGCTGATCCTAATGCTAGATCCTTGCACATCACTTGGTCTAGAATCTGGGTTTTTCATGCACCAAAAGTGTTTGATAAAATACCTGAATGAAAGCTAACTAAGGGTTTATGCATTCATGTCATGATGATGTTGTTAATTGCATAAATGACATATTAGAGTTGATTCTTAATGATTACTAGTTCATATTTCACAAATGAGAATTTGGTTTGAAAATAGATTAGTATAGAGATTAATACCTTCATGAGAGGATTAATCTAGCTTTAAACTCTAAGTTGATTGGATTAGAGATCATGTGATTGCTTGCTATGTCTTTCTGTTAAAGATTCAGTCTTTCTTTGTTAGAGATTGTTTGGTCACTTATTAGGCTTGGAACATTATGCTTGTTGATTGCTTGGTTATCTCTAATGGTTGTTAGACTTGATTAAGTGATTTGCAAAGGGATTTCTGTCATGAGAGTGGATTAATCTGATCATGAAGCCTAGACTAAAGAGTTGCAAGTGTTGCACTGTTGTTTAGCATCATTAGTTTGCATTCAAAGCACCATAATCAATGACCACACCTAGAGGCTTAGTTTTCTCATCTTGTTTACCATCTATCATTTGCTTCTTGCTTTTAATCATTGCTAGTTTGTTAATCTTGTTTAGTTTCTTGTTTTAATTACCTTGTCAAACCAAACCTCACTTGTTTGATTGAATTAAGTAACAGATCATATAGTCTAGTGTCTAGCTTCCACATTCTTTGATTGACACCCCTTATACTACTTTGACAAGGGGGATGATAGCCCTCAAGAGCCTAAAAACTCTTGTCTATCAAACTTACCTTGGCGCCTCACTGAGACATCCTCGCGTAGGATTTCGCTTTCATAAGCGAATCCACGGGTGGCAGCCGAACTCCTTTGTTGTTGATCTTCAACAGAAGTGTTGCCGAAGAGAAAACGTCAGCAACGACAGAAGGCACGGCTTCACCATCAATCGGTATGGTGCGTCTCTTCTTTGGCGCGGAGTTATCCTTTTCCTTGTCACCTTCTCAAGCAGAACGCTTCCGATTCGAGCCACCTTTTTGCTTCGTCATAACGGAAGCAGAAGGTCTCGATCGGCTCGGCAAACCCAAGACGATGACGTGATCCTCACCACCGGATGCGGGAACCTCAGACGATCAGGAACCTTCTCCGAAACATGAACGTGAGCTGGATTCGTCTCGACTACCTTAGGAATTTCTTTGGTATTGCCTGAAGCCTCGACGTTCATTTCATTGAGCCCAGGAAGGGTCGGCTCGGCTTGAGCGGCCGATGTCTCTGCTCCTGCGGCTCGGCTCTCCTTTTCTCTGTCAGCTTTTCCTTTTTGTCGCGAAGATCTAGCAGTTAACTTCGGTCTTACGAATTTAACCTCGACATATTCCTATACGAAACTGACAAGCTGGGGGGCAAACTGTTGGAGTTGGTTTTCACCCCCACGAGTTTAACTGCCTAAAGACTAAGTGTTGAAATCGGGCTTCGGAAAGCCCAATTCCACGATTTATTGGAGAAGGAGCCGAACCGAAACGTAGCCAATACCGTAAACGACCCAAATTACGATATATCAAACGATTGATTCAACTTAACCGAGCCGAACCAAATTTTGTCCTGGACCGAGACGAACCACAAGTTGGTTCGGTAAAACCGAGCCAGATTGAAGAGAATCTCGGTTGGACCAAGCTAAACCACACAACGAACAAAGAAATTGAGCTGAACCGTTCTGGTTCGGGAGATATCCTGCGTATTTGAGCCGAAGAGTACTCCCGTAAACGAGAAGTGTATTGGGGCGAAGGAGGAAGAGACTGGGCCAAGCGGGTGGGTTGAAAGTATTAACGGGCCAAGCTGGATAATAGTGAAGGCCCGATGAACGAGTCCAAGAGATTTTACCCTAGGAGAAATCAGAGTCGTCAGCCGCACAAAAGAAAAGGAAATATCCGAGAATCTCTCGGCTAGGCGGTTTGTAGACTTATTATAAATAGTCGATGTAATTCTTTCATTATATAACTTTTTACGCAATCGCAGAAACCCTAAGCAATAAAATAATTTTTCGATCTTTGTTCTTGAGATTTTCAATTAGAAGGTTTAGATCCCTCTTTTTCCTAATCAAATCTTGATTGTGCGACTTTCGACACACACAAAATATAGAGTTTTAATTGAGGAAGCATCAAACCATCCTGCGGGATCAGGCAAGGTGATCTGATCTCGCCATACCTCTTCATCCTATGTACAGAGGCTTCAATTTCTCAGCTCCAAGTCGCCGAGCAGAGGACAAGATACAAGGGATAATAATTGCTAGAGCAAGTCCCCCTATATCCCATCTCTTGTTCGCAGACGACAGCTTATTCTTGTGTAAGGTGGACAGTAGTCAGAGTAGAGAAATCATCGATATTATCCGTCTTTATGGCGAGGCTTCAGGGCAGCAAATTGATTTTTGCTAAATATTCTATAATGTTTGGTAATGATGTACCTACATCTATGAGGCAAGGGATCAAAGACACCCTTGGTATTTCCCAAGAAAGAGGTATGGGAACTTATTTAGGTCTCCGGAGAAGATTCAAGGCTCTAAGGCCCAAGTTTTTGCATTTTCTTGGGACAGGCTGCAAAAACGGGTCAATTTCTGGTCTTTGAGACTCCTCTCAAAAGGTGGTAAAGAGATTTTGATAAAATCTTAGGCCTAAGCAATTCCGACATTCGTAATGTCGCGCTTCCTTCTCCCAAAAGTCCTATGTGCGAAGCTAAAGAGTATGATTGCCAACTTCTGGTAGAGTTCTAAGAGTGAAAGCAGAGGCATTCATTGGACGGCATGGGACTCCCTTTGCGACCAATTGAAGGAGGGTGGCCTTGGTTTAAGGACCCTCGAAGATTTTAACATCACACTACTAGCTAAACAACTCTGGAGAGTCTTGCGATTCCCAGATTCCCTCTTATATTGGGTCTTAAAGGGGAGATATTTTAAGTTTTGCAATCCTCTCGAAGTTAGTGTCTCTAACCAACCCTCCTACGGATGGTGTAGCATGTTGGGGGCAAAACCCCTTCTCGCATCGGGTATTCGGAAAATCATAGGGTCTAGCTTTGACACATGTGTGTGGTCCGAGCCATGGATCCCCGACAACCCAGCTAGACCCTCGAAGGGACTTCATAAGGTGGGGACCCATTTCTTTTTGTCAACTCTTATTGACTTCGAGACGAAACAATGGAAACTATATCGGCTTCGAGATTTATTCTCTCCCGAGGAGATTACCCTTATTTTAGGGTTACGTCCGATTCAAGTTGTCTTGAGAGATGGGTATAGCTGGATTCACACAAATTCAGAAACTATAGTGTTAATTCAGGATATTGGAATGTGAGAACCTTATCTCGTCTGACCTGTGGCCTCCCTGTTCAGGGACCAAACACTTCGATATTGAAGGCGCAGGCATGGAAATTAAAAACCACACGCAAAATCAAACACTTTGTGAGGCAATGCGTTAATGGTAGTGTGGCGACGTGTCAACGTCTATTTGCCCGACACATATATAGGGCGTGAAAAAGGATGCCCGAGATGCGGGGCTGAGGAGGACACGATAAACCATATGCTCTTTGAATGCCCGCCGTCTAAGAAAGTTTGGGCCCTTTCGACGATCCCCTCAGCTCCAAACATTTTTCCCTAATCCTCCATCTACGGTAACCTTGATTAACTCTTTTGGAGAGCGCGTGAATCAGGACTAAGCGACGAGCATCTTCCTATTTACCCTTGGGTCTTATGGTTCTTATGGAAAGCAAGGAATAAAAGGTTTTTGAAAACATGGATGAACTCCCGCCTGACATGGACTGCTCTGATTTGATTGCCATGAAAGTGAATCCCTTGGATTGGCCTACTTTTGCAGCTGAACTAGAGGATTTTAAGTCTTTATCTATTTGCATTAGATCGTTTAGTTTGTCTCATGTTCCTAGAGCTCGTAATGTCCACGCCGACAAGCTGTCTAAAGCCGCCCGGGCACGGGGTGTAAGCTTCTCCCATGTAAACGTCGCGGCTTCGGCCTGGCTATCCTTCGAGGAAAGTCGTTTGCCGCAATCGTAATAAAATGGTGTTGTTGTTGTAAAAAAAAAGACTTAATAAAATAGAAAAAAACATGTTCGGCAAAAAATGACTTTGAAGAATGTTTAATGCTTTAAAAGCCTTGAAAGCCTAACGTAAGGCCTAAATATTAAAATAATTATTTATACTTGAATATATATATATATATATATATCAAATAATTATTTATACTTGAATAAAAATAAAATAAGGACAATTCTTGAGTTCATCCCTTTTTCACCCCCTTTTACTTTAGCTAATTAGAAAGTCCCACCTAATATTATTTTAAATAAAAATACAAAATTAAAATTAAAAGTTTAAAACACTTACTAAAAAACTTTTATGAAAAACTAATCTGTTTTTGGAACAGATTTTTGAACAGATTTTGGTTTGCAGTTTTTGGAACAGATTTTGGTTTTTATTTTTCAAAAAAAAATCATTTTCTTAGCCATTCAAGTTTTTGAATAAATAGATTTCCTAAATTTTAGGGAAACTTTTTTCAAAGTTTTTACATTTTCTAAATAGAAACTAAAAACCACTATTTATGAGTTTCTCAAAATGAAGTTAACGTAAATTTTTTTTTTTAATTTCTGTTTTTTCTCAATCATTTATTTTTCTACAATAATGTGAAGTAATTAAATAAATATAGCTTTATAATTTTTTATTTTAGAAAATATATAATTTAGATATTTTATTATTACTTCTAAAATTTTGTGAGTTATTATTTTTTAATAAAAAATATGATTTTGAAAAAATTTGTATATTTATTTTTAGTAATTTTATACCCAGTAAAAATGAAAATGCATAAAAACGTTTTTAAAAATATAATTATTGCTAACAAATCAGAAACTAAACAGAGTATACCATTCAAGTTTTAAAAAAAACCAAAATCTACAGCAAAATCAAAAACTAAAATTTTAAAATCTAAATCTAAAAATCAAAAACCATAACCCAAAAACCAAAAACCAAAAACTAAAAACCATGTAAACATTCATGACCATGAGTCTTGTGTCGTCACCCTTGAGCATCCCCTGTTTCTTCCAATTAGAGATGGTGTTGTTTAGTCGTAACATCTCCTTATTGTAGAATACTTCTTTTATCATTTCCTGAACACTGATATTGAAGTGATATTTTTGCTGCAATTAAATAGACAAATTTAGAGAAAAAATCATCTATACAATACTAAAAAAATAAATAATTAAACTTAAAAATAACCAAAACATACCACGAACCTTAATATAAGTCGGGACTGGAGAACAATTGGCATGGAGCTCGGAAAAATATGATTTCATGGTATCGGAGAGGGTTCGGCCACACCTAAAACAATTGTTCAGAAAAATACAATAAGAGTTAAAATATATTCAAAAATTTATAAACAATTACAAAAAAAAAAAACTTACCACTGTGCTCTGTCAATCCTCTCAAGATGTAGTTTCGAAACCATTTCTCGACCGGTTGTGCCAGTAAATCCTCGACCACATCTTTTTGTTTTCTACGCAATCAAAAGCCGAAATTGAGCAATCACTAACCATCTTATGCAAGTATGCAACCGATCCCGCGTTAACCTTTTTTCAACACCGATCAATTTAAATAAACAAACCAATAATAATTCGCCATATTACCTTCCTCTTAAGCCTTTATGTTCCTTTTTTATTATAAACCAAAAAATAGAGCCTCAAAACCGCAGCAGCACACAATATATTGGAAGATACATCCCATCAAAACAGAATGCGGCGGTCTATATGAATATTCTTCTTTTTCATTTTCAGATCTTAAGTCTTTTAGCTCCGTTTTCAGCCGTACGATCCGTGATTCACTTCTCATCTAACGGTTATCTCTCATTCACCTCGCTCCAACCCATGGCTCCGATTCCTCTACGTTATCCTCTTTATAGCCGTCCGATCAGAACATATCTGTCTCCAATTTCACGCATTGGGCCAAGAAACTTCTCTCTCTCTCTCCCTATCTCATCTCACCTAAAGTAAACTCTTACTTCTTCGTACTCTTCTTCGCTTTAAGTAAATCGCAAATACGTATATTTCTACGTATTTGTATAGTCGTTGTGTGTATACAGAAACTGTAGAAGCGTATATATATTCATATTCTCGTATCAAGCAATAGGGATGACTACTGAGAGGTTTTCTGACTCTGTTCTTCGTGCAGATGTCAAAGAAGGTTTTTATTTTTTGCATTCTTTTTACATTAACACATTGACATTTCCATTACTTTTTAAAATTATTTCTCTCGTGTTTTTTCGTCTTGGGTTTTTGTGCATTTTGTGATTCCTCAACTGCGAGTTTTGTCACAGTAAACATTTTGGTCTTTTAACTTATTGGTTTTCTTGGAATAAACTATTCTCGTTCGCTTACCAAAAAAAAACAAATTAATCTCGTTTGTTTTTTTTTGTAATGTCACACATTTCATCAATTGGGTGTGTGGTGGTCTAGTAGTTATGAGAATATTCATAATCACTAGTTCGATCATACTCGAAATGGGTGATGTACGCTCTAAAGATTAAATGCAGTATTATCTACTGCTGGTCTTGTACCATAAGAAATTAAGGACCAAATGTCCGAAATTTTCACAGTTTACAAAAAAAGAAAGAAAAAATAATCTTTAAGCCAACTAATTTTCTAACATTGTGTGCTATGATTTTCCTCTGTTTCCACAATAGAGAAAAACAATTCATGCATTTGTTTTGTTTTTAGACAGCGATAACAAGATCGGCGAATTACAAGATCTTGACGTAGGAGAGCAGTCGTTGGTGAGATCAGAGACAGTTAAATTCTCAAGAGAAGGTCAGAGAAGCAGTGGGAAAGATCCTGCGGAAAGAGAGAGTAGAAGACTGAAGAGGTAAGTCCATCATAAAAACTTTGGTTTTTGACGAAAAAGTCCCTACATGTTTTAGACTAGAGCAGGTGACGTGAAGGTTATTATGGGAAATTGAAAAGGTTGCTAAGGAACAGAGTGTCTGCACAACAAGCGAGAGAGAGGAAGAAAGTGTACGTGAACGAGTTGGAGAAAAGAGTGAATGATTTGGAGGGGAAGAACACTGACCTTGAAGAGAAGGTCTCCACTTTGCAGAAAGAGAATCACATGCTTAGACATGTATGTCTTCTATTCTTTCTTTATTTTATTTTATCCTTTTTTTGGGCACATAAAGTCTTTAATTAATCTTTCCTTGACCAAAACAAAAGTCGTTAATCTTTCAAAACCAAGAAATCCAACCGAATTATTAAAGGACTAGTTTTTTTTGTACTTCAAAAAATTTCACCCAAATTGATCAGAGGTTTAGCAAAAGTTACTAATTTTATCGAAACTGAACCAAAATAGCAAAATTGAACTGAAACTTCATTGACTAAGATAATAAAGCGAAATAACCGAAACTTGAATTGCTCGAATAGTCATATTTTATTTTATTATATAACTGAATGTTTCAAAATTAGTAAAATAGCATATGCCTTGAAACAAACCATACTTAATTAGATGTAAGAATCAGAATGTTGATGTATGGTGTTTTTCGTAATTTTAGATACTAAAGAACACGACGTCAAGCAGCAGCCGTTAAGGAAGTGACTAGTGGACTCTTGCAACACAAAACTATTCAACCATTAAGTAAGATTTTTCCTTTTCTTTTTTCTTTCTTTTTGTTAGCAGTATATCAAGTAGGATTAAGTGATTAACCAAAAGAAATTAATAAAGTTTCTTTTGTTTGAGTCTAGATAAACAGAAACAACCGATGTCAACGTATCTTTTGAGAATGTATTTCATTTATCATAATAAATTCTTAAAGGTTTAATTGTAAAACAAACATGTCACTATTTGAAAAACAGAGTAACAAACTAACTCTCAAACAATTTTTATGACTACATATTAACATTTTCCCACAATATGAATTGAGTATATATGAAACTCTCGTAAGATTTGGATCTACAAGTTCTACATCACTATTCTTGTGGTATAGGATTTATGCCTGCAATATAGTGTAAAGAAGAGACTCAATTTCACCAACTAACCAGAGAGGTCGATACCTCGACTTAAAAATTACTCTGGAGTAATCTAAGAGGTCGGGCCTAGAGGATTTACGGATTTTAGCACAAAACCTCTTGGTTATCAAAAATAAAAAAGAACTTCACCAACGAAGATTTCCAAAATATTAAAGTTTGACTTCTGCAGCCCTTACAAGGCGATGATCCACCAACCGGACTATCAAGTTTTAATCATAAAGTTCGATATCTATATACATACATAAATTCTCGAAAAAATCCCTGATTGATCTTTGGCCGCCTGATAACTCCTAATGAAAATTTTAACATTAGCTTCCCTTTTTTTATTTTTCAATATTTTTAACTTCCGCACAGAAAAGAAAACTCTTGAAGGTAGTAAATGTTGGGTATGTGAGCAGTCACTCACACATATACATATGCATGAATATCGTTGTTATTACATACAAGACAAAAACACGACTACCTTGAGAAAACTTGTAGTGCAGCCATGCATTTACCACATTTGAGAAAGCGTAATAATGTCCTCCATAACCACCAACATATCCCTGCTTCCATCATCTTCAAGACGGAAGCGCCAGTTCGAAAATCTTAAGGTGCTTTAGATTAGATGAGTTCTCTTGAAAAAATTGTTCCTCATCGCCAATGTAAGCTTCAATCAGTTGGTTATTTTAGCTAATTTGGTTAAAGTTTCTATGGTTGAACCCCCTAAACCTGAGTTCAAGCTCAGATGGTATTAATTTTTTAGGGTTTCTTCCTGAAAGATGATTAATTCTAAGTTTAATTATTAAGAAAATATATGTTAACATCCCTAAAAACATTTTTTGGGTCCGCCACTGCATCGCTGTATGGCTTTCCTTCTTTTTTATCTCTCTTTTTTGCCAAGAAAGCTTTGTAATAGGTCTGCTTTTTGTAGTAGCTTTTTCATTTATATGATACTAGAGACTGAACCGCGCTTCGCGCGAAATTTTGTATTGTATTTATTAATATATTTAAAAGAAAATTCTACAATATTAATTTTTTTCATTAAATTTTGTATTTCAATTTATATATATATTTTTAGTATTTAATAATTTTATATACAACATTTAGAAAATAATCAAATAACATATCAATTAAAATTTCAAATCAAATTTAACTTGTAGATATCTTTATATTTATATAGGTTTATGATTTTCGAATATATACAATTTTTGATTGTTGTATTCAGGAAAAAAATATATGTAATAGACAATAAATTATTTGAAAATATCTTGATTCTCTAACGTATTTCTGAAATATATTCATAATCTTTCTTTTTCTCTACACTCATCTCCCTCTCCATCTCCCTCTCCATCTCCTTCTCCCTCTCCTTCTCCATCTCCCTCTCCCTCTCCCTCTTACTCTCCTTTTCTCTCTCATGTTCTCTCTCTCATAAATGCAACATGTTAAACCAAACACAACATATTGGACCGTTGAAATTTCTATCTTTTTCATGTTTTTTGTTTTTTCTAGCCATTCTCAATGTCACCTCTCTAACCTGAGCTCTGTATATTTTTTTAAGGGAAACTTCACCCATTTTATGTTTCAAATATTAGGTTGAACATGTTAACATTTTGTGATACCACAATTTGTTTCCCAAAATATGCATTCTCACATCTCTATATTATTATTTAAGTAGTCATTTCAAAAAATAAATTTTATTTTTTAAATTATTACATGATATGTTATTACAAATGACAAAAATAATTAAAATAGAAAATGATATAATTGTCACTCGAGCTTTTTGAAACTCGTGCGAATATTCCTTACCCGTTAATATGCATTTAGTTTTATAATCTATTGTTCTAATTTTCTTTAAATTTATGTCTTTTGTTATATTCTAGTGTTTTATAACGGTTTTAAAATAAATTTAGATATTTTTAGATATTAAAAATTTTGGATCCGAGATTTGTTTCTCGGATTTGGCAAAACTGGATCCAAATCCGGCTATCTTAAAATTTTATGGTTTACTATTCATATCTATCGAATCATATAAATAAAATAAATCATTTAAAATAATAATGAATAAATACATTAATATATAAACTGTTATTTATAAAGAGTGTCTTTTCATATTCTTGTTAAATTAATGGATGATAGTTAGTTGTTACCATGAGAATTAAAGTATAATAACACAAATTATAATAAATTATAAATTAATTAATAAATTGATGATGTGTCAAAATTTTAGAGTTTGAAAAAATGATGTGGCATCATAAGAAGAGAGAACATTTTACTTTATATATATAATATAGATTGACGTTCATAGCAAAAAAAAAAAAAAAGTATACGGCTACACATATATGATATTAACTTATGAGTGATACCATCGACTAAACGTCTAAACCACTCATCGATTTTTCAAATGGGCACATCAATCTTGGTTTAGACCAATAGGACAATTCCTGTACAAGTAGGAACCACTAGATAAAGAGAATAGGTTGGGAAATAAAACCTTTTTTTTTTTTCTCTCGCCTCTCTCTTCCCTTTCACGCCCGCCGCCAAGTCTTTTCTAGATCTGTTCTCTTCTCTGGCGCCGGTGGCTTCCTAAGCACCGTTAGTTTCTTCTTCTTCTCCTCTAGATCTGGTTCCCATCAGTGTTTGTGGTTGCAGCAGAGTAAGGGTTTCGTTGGTGGCTCCTCTCACGATGGTGGCGCAGGTTCAACGGCGTCGTTGGTCTTTGCGGTGGAGGATGGAAGTCTTCTTCTCGCATGGTCGGTTTCTTCTCCTTGTTCGCCTCGTACTCCTCGGCGAATTCTCTCTCTTGTTGACTGCATTTTTCCTTCCGGCAGTTCCCTCAGCTCTCTTCTGTGAGTTCTTCTGGTCGGTGGCGTTTCTCTTGCTTTCCTCGGTGGTGGTGTGGTGGCAAGCCTCACTTTTCCCCGATTAAAGACCCTCCAAAGTCTCCTAGTGTTGTCTCTGTTTCCAATCTCCGCAGATCCAAGGGCCACTACCGCGGAGAACACACTTTTGGCCACAGCTAGGAGCTAGGAGTCTCTGGCTGCGGCCAAACCCTAATTCACCACGGTTGGAAGCCTCACGACCAGGGCCAACTAAAAGGCAAGCCCACGACCCTGTTTCAAGCCCAATTCGTTTTCACTTCAAAGAAAATCCTAAGGACGACTGGACAGAGTTGAAGACCTATAAATATGTATCATAGCAGACCTATATTCGTGTGCCTCATAAGAATTCCTTTTGGGAGCGTTTTTAGTTTAGGGAGATATAAATTTTTTTTGAACCCTCTTTATGTTCTACCTTTACTTTATGCAATCTTTAAACTCAGTTTTTACTTTTATGGCTTTCTATTTGGTTTCTACTTTCTTCATATTAGATTAGCTTGTTTAAAGGATTTGAAGAGAACTTTTCCCGAGCCTAGATCTCGAAATCGAGATGCGTCTTCTCCTTTCCAGGGCTAGAGTGGAAACCTACTGGTCAGGGTCGCGAAAAACAATTGGTTATGACCACGAGAGTGGTGTAGTCATACCATCGTGGTTCGAGTTCTAAGAATTTACTAGGATCAATTTTAAGAGCTTTGTTTTGCGCGATTTGAATCGATCATATCCCGTAGACATCCTTTATTTCAACATCGACTTATTCACTTCTAGTTTAGTTTTATTTTTCTTCTTAACATACATATATATATAAATCGTGACAACCTATCCAAAACCCCGTTTTTCATCTTAGACTTCGTTTACTAATTATGGTTCTGCAGGTAAAGCTTGAATTCTTTGTGGATCAATACCCTAAGTACTACAATGCACAAATGTGCACTTGCAGATAACTAGGGTTATAAATTTAAAACATGAAGCCACAAAGTAAACCCTAGCCCGCATCAAGTTTTTGGCGCCGTTGCCAGGGAATCCAATCGTCTTCATCTGCACTATTTCAGAGATTAGTAAATCGACTCTAAGACAACTATTTCTTACTAATTTTCGGTTTTGTTTTTCTTAGTTTTAGGTCTTTGAAAAAAATGGTGTCCGACCCGCAATCGTGCTTGGCCGACCCGCGGTCGTGCCGCGATCATGCCTGCTCGACCCATGGTTGTACCTGCTCGACCTGCGGTCGTACCATCTCGACCTATAATGAATTTTCTTGTACCAGATCGATGGCATGACGACTTCCATCCATTCCCCTTCACACCTTCAACCGTCCACCACCCTTTACCATCACCACACCACCATACGTCCAGGTAAGTTTTCTTTTTCTTTATCTTTTCAATTCATTGCATATTTTTTTTCTCATCCTTACTCTGATTTATCTCACATCTCGGCAAAGGAGGATTTCATCCCTCTCTAACCACCTTTCTTTTATGAGTCTTTGAATTCTACAATTTTCTCTTAAAAAAAAAAATCAAATTTTCAAAGTGTTTTCAAAGTATAAATACGTTTTGAGGGAATGATGACAAAAATATATGATGATTACCAACCTGTATGCCTTTACACTATGCATGACAGCTCTTTTGTGGTTAGTACTAAACTAGGCGGTTGCTAGGATACTTGCAATACGAACTCCCAACAGAGGACTTCTATTCATGGAGATTCTTTCTGACAGGATCTACTAGCTCATTTTATTTGGAATTAATATTGATATCTAATTTTCTCATCATTGATTTTAGACAGGCATCATGTTATACATCTAG